GTCTTTAGCAAATAAATCTTTTTTTCTATTATTTTTACATACCAACCTTTCCTTGAAGGTACTTCATAATCTTTCAATTACTAACAATTGACGACTTTATTTATTTTACAAAATTACAAAAGTTAATTACATTTGACAGGAATTTGTTTTTACGTAAGGGTGCACTCTATACCTTTGTTCCGTAACACAATTCCGGTCTCTTAATTCACAATATTTAAAGTGGAATACACAATATCTATTATTTACATTACTGTGTGTTTGGTATTACAAATTATTTATGATTCCTTTTTTTGCTAATATAACACTTCACTATGGTTTATTTCTGGGTCACAAACAGTCCCTTCGATGGCTTCATCAACATATGCTGATATAATCCTAAAATTGTAGTCATGTTTGTTCAGACTCCTGTATAAATACGCCGGCAACCTGTTGGTTAGTATCCAAACGCTTGTGTCTTCTTCCCTGTCCATTCTCATATCGTTAGGGAAAAACATCGTTTCACTGTTATGGACAAGAATCCCTAGGTTCGATCTGGTGTAAGGTTTGTGGGAATCCCAGCAAGCAACTCCGTCTTTCGATATGAGGTTATAAAAGAGAACACCTTTTCTGTCCATACCAGCACCCGATGCATGTCCATTTATTCCTCTCGATTGTCCCAAAATCTTGAAACTTTCCTTAGCGGTCATCCAGCCAGTTTCGTTACGAATGACCGACGTTGGCACATAAAATTCTCGAAAACTTGACATAGGATGAAAGAATAGGATCCTGTCGTCGCTGTTGGGATTTTCAGGACTCAATGCTAACGAAAATATCCCGTCTGTCCATTCAAAATCGATCCCGTGTATATTAAAAGCAGCCGCCAAGGGATCCGGAAAAAATAAATGGTCAGTTACTCTCCAACTTTTGTTGTTTTTGAGACTAAAAACGACCAATCCAAATCTCCATACATCAGTGATATAGGCATATGCATCATCACATTGTTTTCTTCTTATGTCAACAATTAAATTAGAATACAGACTGTCCTGCTTGATGAATTCTTCTGGTAATTCGTAGCGATGAATGAGATAATCAGTGTTTAGATCAAAAATGAATATCGTAGGTGGACAAACTTGTATAGGTTTTGTTGAGATCTCAATAAGACCCGAATCTAAAACCCATAGACGACCGCATACATCTGCTATCATGCGAAATGCAGACGTCAGACCAGTACATGAGCCTACAATGATAGATAATAACAATTATTGAATGATGATTACTGATGAGAAATGACAAAACCTTATCTCAAATTAGATACGCAGCCAAAATCTTTTGAAAGAGATTCCAACACTTAGGATTTATGGTAAACAGCGTTCGTTATATTAATTTTCTCATACCAAATAGTACTGAAGTTGTCAATGAAAAGAATATGGAAATATAATATTAGGATAACAAAAATGTACATTATAAATAATATTGAATCAGAATCTTTTAACATGGCCAAAGTGAATATATAGGAATAGGTATAGATTAAAAAAAATCTTGTTCAGCAAATAATATCGGATATAAAATTTGGTTATGTCAAGCACATTGGGACTACTGATACATTAAACTATTTATCTAACATCATTTATAGAAACTTAGATGCAAGTAAACCACTAATAGTAGTTTTCTTGGATTTAGCGAAGGCTTTCGACATGGTAAACCATAAAATTCTACTTGAAAAGCTTAAAAGACATGACATAGAGGCCCCACTCTAGAACTCTTAGAAAGCTCTCTCTCGTATAGGAAATAAAAGGTTAAAATTAGTGACTGCTTTAGTTAATATAAAGTAATATCAATAGGAGTCCCGCAAGGAACGATACTAGGACCACTATTTTTCATATTTTATGCTATTTGGGTTTAGAAGAAATAGAGGAACGCGGAAGGCCATTCTAGCTTTACGGGTAACAATAGAGAAAACGATAGAAAAAGGAAAGAGTGCGTACATAGGATTTGTAGATTTAGAAAAAGCTTTTGACAATATTAAATGGAACAAGATGTTAAATATACTTAAAAATGTAGAGATGAGTTAGAAGAGTGATACGCAGTTTTAGACCTAGGGATGCAATATGCAGAGAAGTAAATATTAGGAAGGGAGTCAGGGGGGGTTGCACACTGTTAGCGCTACTTTTTAATCTATACATGGAAGGCGTCACCAACATCATTAAAGACAGTACAACTGTAGGGATAGATATACACGGGAAAAAAATAATATGCTTAGTTTTTCAGATGATAGCAGTATTAGCATCTAGCAAGGAGATAGCTTTAAATAAAATGGAAGCGGTACTGACAAATCAGTACTGTATGAAAATAAATAAAAGTAAAACTAAAATACTGGTATGCAAGGGAAGAAAAAGTAGGGAAAGAGCGAATATAAAGATAGGAGACGAAAAATTAGAAGAAGTGGCTGATTTTAGATATCTAGGAAGTCAGGTAAGTCAGGACGGAAAGAGTAGTAGGGATAAAAAGCAGAGGATAGAGTAGGGTCGTGTCGCCGTTATTAAAAATAAGTTACTTCTTTGCTCGCGAACGGTTAATTTAGAAATTCGAAAAAGGTTGTTAAAGGTGTATGTTTGGAGCGCGGCGTTGTACGGGTGCGAAACAGGGACAGTGGGCGTGGCGGAAAAGAGAAGGTTAAAAGCCTTCGTTATAGGCGAATGATGAGGATAACATGGGTAGAAAAGGTTAGAGATGAAGAGGTATTAGAAAGAATAGGAGAACAGAGGGCTCTATGAAAGCCAATAAGCGAGATGGGTTGGTAGGACACCTTCTCAGGCATGAAGGTCTAGTCAGGGACATATTAGAGGCACAAACAGGAGTTAGGAGGAGTAGAGGTAGACCTAGATTAGATTACTGTTCACAAATAGTTAAAGATGTGGGTTGTTCTAGTTTTAGGGAAATGCGAGGTTTAGCTCAGGATAAGAAAGAGTGGAGGTACGTGTCCAACCAGTCTTAGGACTGACGACCCTATGATGATGATGATGAAGATTGTCCTGATTTGTAAGAGTACCAGCCCATGTACAGGTAATGTGATCACCTTTTATAGGAGTTATAATGAAATTCTACCTACGTACAGGTGGCTATCATCACCTCTAGGGTTTTGTTTTCTGACTTTTTTTGGTTTAATAAATACAAATTTACGAATTAATAACGATAATAGGTACCTCAAGCTTTCTAGAGTTGAAAACGAAAATAATGTTATCGAACGAAGAAGCAGATTTAAATTGATTCGAATTGAAATAACTTTATTTGTACAAATCAGAACAAGTTTTAAATACATTATAACAAATTTAGTTCACATATTGTCAAGAAATTGTTCTGAGAATTTGACATTTTTATTTGCACATTCTTCAGACGTACATGTACTTTCATTACCATAATAACGCGTCATTCTACAGTGACTGACCTACACTAACAATTGATGTTGCATTAATGAACTAGTTTATTGAAATGCATATCGATTACCTCATACAAGGTCTAAACGTTAAAGGAATAAACGGCTATTAGAGGTTGACAGTACAACTGTAGGGATAGATACAGAGGGACAAAAGATTAATATTCTTAAATTTGCAGATGATATAGCAATTTTAGCGACTAGCAAGAAGGAGTTAGAGATAGCTTTAAATAAAATGGAAGCGGTGTTGACAAAACAGTGTTGTATGAAAATAAATAAAAGTAAAACAAAAGTACTGGTATGCAAAGGAAGAAAAAGTAGGGAAAGAGCGAATATAAAGATAGGAGACGAAAGATTAGAAAAAGTGGCTGATGTAGGTATCTAGGACATCAGATAAGTCAGTACGGAAGGAATAGTATGGATATAAAGCAAAGGATAGCGCAGGGTCTAATCGCCTTCAATAAAAAGAAGTCACTTCTATGCTCGCGAACGGTTAATTTAGAAATTCGAAAAATATTGTTAAAGGTGTATGTTTAGAGCGCGGTGCTGTACGAGTGCGAAATATGGACAGTGGGCGCAGCGGAATAGAAAAGGGTAGAAGTATTCGAAATGTAGTGTTACAGGAGAATGATAAGGATACTGTGGATAGAGAAGGTTAAAAATGAAGAGGTGTTAGACAGAATAAGAGAACAGATGGAAGTCAATAAGAAATAGGCGAGATAGGTTGGTAGGACTCTTTCTCAGGCATGAAGGTCTAGTCAGAGACATATTAAAGGCAGAAACAGGACAAGAGAGAAGTAGAGGTAGATTACTGTTCGCAAAAGTTGAGGATGTTAGGACTGACAATCTTATGAAGATGATGCTGATAGTGCTCTTATCACTTCCTGCAAGCTCATCGCTTATTTCTGTTACACCCTGTATAGCTGTTTTCCTTTTTCCCGGTACGGCCGGATACTTAGCGTCATTGTCTGGTACCCCACGGGATCCTAGAAGAGTGTCGGATCCGCCGAGTACCGGATCCCGTCTTTAATTATTTTGTTTGTTATTGAATATTCTCGTTTTTGGAAGTAAACGTAGGTGTTAATAGTATTTTGAAAGTATCAGATTTTGTAATCATTATTTTCCGTTTTAACTCATAAACAAGAATGTGATGCAATTTATTTGAAAATTACAAACAACTTCTGGAAAGGTAAAATTAAAAATACATTCAAAGAGAGTTAGTTATCTCCTATCGCTATTTATAAGTCGTTCAGATAGTTACTGTAAGAACTGTACAACTATGGTGATAAATATAATGAAAATAAACTTCGTGCAAAGTTTTGTTTCGTGAATCTGTAAAAGAATTTATGTGTTAGTGTGCATTGAAGATTATTTGCCTTAAAGAGAACGCTAAAAAAGGTCAGTTTTTTAGTAATTTTGTAAACACTGTTCTTATTATTTTTGTGTAATTATACTCGACCCTTTTTGAGTACCAAATAAAACAAAGAAAAGTGTGACACGACCCCACACTGCTTTGTGTTATGGTTAAAACGTGACGAACATTTTTTTTTATGTTTAATTTTCCTTTATACCAAACAACTTAAATAAAAATGATTCAATTAGCGTGAAGGTATGTCCCGTATGTATAATTCCGTAATTACGTTATAAAACTGATTTAGCTGGTCTAATTTGGTACTTTAACGATATGTATAATGAGCCTTTAATATAGGTTCTAATTATGTAAAAAGTGGACAATTTTTACGTCTCTTTCTTTTTCGGGTATGGTGTAGTTCTTTTTTACTTTGCTCAGATCGTGGTAAACATCAAGGCTTTAGAGAAAGTAAATGAAATACAATAATACGTTTCGAAACAACAATTTGTCTACACAGTAACAGATTTGCGGAATATTTAGTTTGCATTTAAATTTTATTTTGCTAAATTTATCGGGAAAATCCCCAAGGATTATAAACGGAACGTGGTAGTAACCATACCTAAGAAAAGAGACGCGGATAGGTGCGAGACACTCGGAACAATTAGCTTGACTTCCCATGCGTCAAAAATCTTAACTAGAATTGTACAGAGGAGGATGGAAAAAAGGGCGGAAGAACTATTAGGGGAAGATCAATTTGGGTTTAGAAGAAATAGAGGCACGCGGGAGGACATTCTAGCTTTACGGGTAACAACAGCGACAACTTCAGAAAAAGGAAAAGATACATAGGATTCGCAGATTTAGGAAAAGCCTTTGACAATGTTAAATGGGACAAGATGTTAAATACACTTAAAAATGTAGGGATTAGATATAGAGATAGAAGAATGTTGCTTAGTTTGTACAAAGAGCAACAGGCAGTTATAGAACTGGAGTTGCAACGTAGAGAAGTAAATATAAGGAAGGGAGTCAAACAGGGATGCACACTGTCATCCCTACTTTTTAATCTACATCGAAGACGCGATCAACATCATTAAATGCAGTACTACTGTAGGGATAGATATAGAGGGGCAAAAGATTAGTGTGCTTAGATTCGCAGATGCTATAGCACTATTGACATCTAGTAAGGAGGACTTAGAGATAGCTTTAAATAAAATGGAAGCTATAGATTAGATTAATGGTCACGAATAGTTAAAGATGTTGGATGTTCATTTAGAGTAGTGCGAAGATTAACTCAGAATAGGTGAAGGTGCGTGTCCAACCAGTCTTAGGACTGACGACTTTACGACGATGATGATGATGATGATGATGATGATGATGATGATGATGAATTTTATTGTTTTATCCTTGTAGGATATCATAAATCCAAATCATAAATAAAGAAATGCAATTAGATGAACGAAAAAAAAAAAAAATAAAAGTAACTAAACAAAGTTCTGGCTACGTTCTTGAACCAGGCGCCTGATATTTATGCAATACGCTTTACCTACCTGTACGATGAAAATTCCAGCTGGGATAGGGTACTAATAATGGTGATTCTTCTTGCGGTATTTTGGGAAGTACTGCTAGTGTATATGGAATGCCAGTCTTCCACTTCGGACAAGTAACAAAAATCCTATCTTTGTAAGTTTCAACTCCTAAGGGAAGCACATTTTCTTGAATAAATTTTCCACTAGATATCGCATCGTACTTTTCTTGTTCGGAGGGGAATAAAAAATCAATCTGTTTCCATCTGTACCATGTTTTAAATGCTCCAGTCTGTTCTAAGGGATGGGGATAGGACGGTTCAATAGGATAATGATGTGGGAATAGTGTATGCGTTTCTCCAGACGATATTAAGTTATGGTTGTTGTTTTGGATATTATAAATGTATGGTTGGGTCAGGTTAAGGGCTAGGAAGAAAGGTAGATATTTGTGGTAACTGCCACCTAAAATAAATGTACGTTTCTTTAATTATATATGTAACGGAAATGTGTGTAATCAGTCATTGTATATAATTCCTAGAAAATGTATATAATTCCTAGGAAATGTATATAATTCCTAAAATCGCCCGGAAATATGTGACATCACTACAAAGTATAAAACAAAGTCGCTTTTCCGCTGTCCGCCCTATATATGTTTAAATCGTTAAAACTACGCGACGGATTTTGATGCGGTTTTTTTTAAAAGATAGAGTGATTCAAGAGGAAGGTTTATATGTATAATACATGCATAATATAGTATGGAAACACTGATAATTTTAGAGGTTTCTAATGTGATGTCGTAAAAAAACACATTTTTTGCGCTTACATTGCAAACGCTGGCTGAACCCTACGAGATAGATCAAAATAATGTACTACAATATTGTACATCTTAAAAGGGTCTACAAAAAAGTCCG